CCATTACCTTTTAAGTTTTTCAAATTTTGTCAGTATTTTTTTATTAGTTTTATTTCATCTTATTTTTGTTGCATGTTTACAATTCGTATTAGTCAACTCTGAACCGACTGTTCGGTTTAACTCTCTTCCTTTATGGGGAGGAACCGAAGGAGGCTACTAGGTAAAAATCTGAAAAAAAAATGGGCTATTTTTTTTGCCGAGCCTAATGGCTTAAATGCCCACGTTAAAAAGGCCTTTTGTCACATGACACCCTCGTGGGGGGGTGGGGGTGACTGAATATCGTATTAGTAATAATAGATATAATAATGTTAAGGTGTGCAAAATATTTAGATAAGGCATTTTCAATATTAATTTTTAACTAGTTTTTATTTCATCTTATTTTTGTTGCATGTTTACTCATTGTATTAGTAATAGATATAGTCTTAAAGCATGCAAAATATTTAGATAAGGCATTTTCAATATTAATTTTTACCTAGTTTTTATTTCATCTTATTTTTGTTGCATGTTTACTCATTGTATTAGTAATAGATATAATAGTCTTAAAGTGTGCAAAACTCTTAAATGAAGCATTTTCATTATTAATTTTTAACTAGTTTTTATTTCATCTTATTTCTTATTTGGGTTTTTTTTTTGTTTTTTTTTTCACTGCAATAAAAAGTGGTATGAATGGATTATAAAAGGATATTTTTACACAATATGATCAAACTTTAATGATCCCTGCTGGCTGGTCTTTCATAGGCTCATTGCTAAGGTAAAATAAACAGGCTCTCAAGGATACAGTTTTTGTGAGTTCAATTCTTGCCAGAGGTTATTTATTTCTCATCCAAGCTTCTTGCTTAACAGTCTTACAATCTGAAGATTATGATAAAAAGCAACAAAAATAAAATTAAATTAAAAATTTCTTGTATTGACATTTTGAATCGATTATAAAAGGAATGACAGGAAGCAGTTTTCTTGCTGTTTTTCTAAATTATCTTTGTTTAAACATGAAGAAATGAAATTACTTTTCTCTTAACAACTATATGTAATTATATATTCTTATTGTTTTACTAAACCAACCATAAACCCAATGTGTTTCTTTTAAAAGGAATTGATAATACAAAATGACGAGGTATCAGTTTTATTATTAATTACACATTTTAATTTGTATTTAAAGATGGTAAATCAAAGTTTATTGTTCCACTGGGTTTCATAGCTTAAAACAGGTGCAGTCTTTTTCAAAATAATAAGTATATTTTTTATTAATTAGTGAAGTAAATTTTTTCCAGCCTGAAACCAAATGCACCAAAAATACCTTAATGCAAATATGTCCTGATTGAAAGTATGAAAATAAATTATTTTACAATATCAATAGATTTATTTTACTTCTTTACATTAAAAAGAATTTTATTTTTCATAAAATTTACTTTGAATACAAAATTAATAGTCAATACTAAAGATGGTAAAAGAAGGTTTATTGTTCCACTGGGTTTCATAGCATGTTGTGTGAAAATTTGGAGTAATAGCTTAAAATGGATGTAGTCTTTTTCAAAATAATATATTTTTCATTATGCTTATTTCTTTTTTCCTCACATTTATTTCAAAATATATAATGGCATCAAATAGCATGCATCTATCTATTTATTTATTTATATATTTACCATCAAGTCGTGTAACACATATAGCCTTTTCACCTTTCTAGTAATTGTTTATATAAAAAAAACGTTCTAATGTAGTTAATTGTATATGTTGTGTTATGCATATTTAAATTTATTTAATAATGTTGTTATAATGTAATATAAATGTTTATTATTTTTCTCACACATAATAGATGGAATATAATATACAAGCGTTTGTTTATGTACGCGGATTGATATAAGAATATGTATTGAAAACAAATACAGAATTTGCTATTAAAAATGCCATAAAAAGAGAAAAAATTAAAAGCTAAAGAAACTCTTGTCTGATTTTAAGGAAATTTAGCACTGCACTCAGCAGGGGTTCAAGGTAGAATATGCTCCTGAATTAGTTGGGGTATTAGGTATCGTTTAAGCTGTATCTCAGGAATACACACACATACATACAAGATTAGTTTTAGTGTTATATGGATTATTTGCTTATTAGGTTTTATTTCTTGCACCAATATTTTCAGTCATAACAGTAAATAGTGAATTATATTATCATAAGTGTTGAGAAAGGAGCGTAGTATTCTGAGATGTCTTCATTGTCACTGTCTTTGACCGTCACATTATTGTTGCTATAATGGAAGTAAAATTAGTAACACATTCTTTACTTAAATTTAGAGAATGCAGGCCTAGATGGAACTATGGTAAACTTGGGGATAAAAAAAAACAAAATTTGGTAGATATTCCTTTGATCACATTAAGAGTGTGATGACAATTTCTCAGGTTAACCAAGATACCATTTTTTTTTTTTTTTTTAAAAATTTGCTATTTGGCCTGAAAGGAGGGGGGAGAATTTTTCAGCACCTTATGTAAATGTTAAGATATTGACGGTAATCAAAGCAAGTATAATTTTTAGATATAACTGTTTTCCTCACTTTAATGCTATGTAAATTAGAATACACATTTACGTTGCACTGATTAATTTTTTTTTTTTTAATTGAGTATGCCCCTAGCAAGGCAGTAAAGCCACTAAGACACAAGGGGTTACTGGGTGTGGAAGAGCTAGAAAACGAAAACAGAAGACTAAGAAGCGAGAACAATAGAAGAATAATCAGAAAGACGGCAGATAGCGATTGACATTGCAATTAAATTTTTGAAGATTAAAGTTGACTGGAAAGCATGGAGTTGAAAGAGTTCCACAAGCAGGATGTACAAGAAAAGAAACTGTTAGAATAGAACTTACGGTTATATCTAGCTAACTCAACTGTAAATTGATGAAACCTCAATGCCAGTCTAGTACTTTGCTTAAATTCATAAAGTCTAGGTACCATAACAAAGAGCTCATCCAAACAATTACCATGAAAGTATTTATAGAAAAGGCACAGGAAGGCAATTCTTTGGTTGTAGGAAAATGATGGAATCTGAGATCAGGACTAATAATAATGCTGTTTCTTCTTTGGATTTTATCAAGGATCTCTAAATATATAGCAGGAGCATAAGTGGCAGCAGTATTCTAAGCATGGGTAAATGGTAGACTTATAATTGGCTGATAATTAGTAATTGGCTATATCGGTCATTGGCTTGCTGTCTTATCTTTTCATTACCATATATACTAATGTATAAGCCTATATGCAAATTACTATGGTATATACTTGTGTATAAGCTTGCTTCCTCAAGGACACATGGCACAGTGGATAAAGTTAGTTAGATCCAGTGACAGGACCCAAAGAGTGTGAGTTCAATACCCAGTTAAGGCAGTGGAGAACTTGGAGAGGGAAATTAACAGGAGATAACTGACAACTGACTTCCATTAAAACATGGCATGTGGAACTTGAACAGTCTACCCCAGTGAGTGAAATAAAGGGTTCAGTTCGACATTCCAACCACCTGAAGAAGGCCGTTGATGACTGAAACGTTGTGATAAATATGGCAACAAAGATGCAGACAATAGTCCAAATAATGTAAATAATACCTCATCTCAGAAATATAGACAGATACTGAAGAGCCAAAATGTTGTAACAAATATGGTGACAAAGATGAGAACAATAGTCTGAATAATGTAAATAGTGTACATAATACCTCATCTCGGAAATATAGACAGAAGCTTACTTCCTGTATAGTGTGACCCCCTGAATTTTTTGTGAAAGACCTGATTTTTTTTTTTTTTTTTTTTTTTTTAATATATATCTCATATAAAACTCCCTCAGCTGGTGGGCAATACTAGTAGACCTACTGTAGTCAAATATTACAGTACTGGGTACATTCTGGGCATATTTTATAGCAAATAAATTGTCATCATTTTCTTTGTACAAAGCAACCCCAAAATGGTGAGAAAAACTATTGACATTCTGCTGTTCATGTAGCAACAGAAAGAAAGAATCTAGGCTACAGGAGACATACTAAAAGAATTTACCTGTACTGTTAAGTTGAGCCAAAGTTGACATGAGAATGTAGACCTCTCAGGTAGGTTATGGTCACTGAAAATGCATGAATTTTAACCTCTCCAGAAAAAAATTTACCTGCATTTAGTGCAACTGTTCAATGAAAATGCATAATTTTTAACCTCTTCCAAAAAAAAAAAAAAATGATCATAAAAACTTGCACTATACTCAAGTATATACGATATACTGATAAATTGGTTTTCATTCTCGGTCATCCTTGTTTATTAGACAACAAATTTCTTCCTTGGCCTAAGAATCATCAATTACCTTAGACACATAATTTATGCCCACCCTAAAATCCGGTATTATAGGTTTCTTAAACCCCCCCCAAAAAAAACTGTACTATTTATTTTGACCTATATCCCACTTATTACTTACCTTGGTACAGTGAACAATAATGGTAATTTTAACAGTTTCCTCATAAGGAAACATTCATTTTGGTATTTGTTGGTCAAGTAGCAAGTGCTACTCAATTAAGCTTTTCTTCACTTCCTGGCCATTGGGATGTGATTAAAGTGTAATATCTGTTTTTATCTCTAATGTAATATTAACTGTTTCATCATAAGAAAACATTCAGCATTCATTGACTGAGCAGCCAGTGCTAATTGAGTTAAGGTTTTCTTCACTCCCTTGCCATCAGGCTGGGATCAAAGTGTATTATCTGTTCTCTAATGGTAACTGTAATATTAGCACTTTCCTTATATGGAAACATTCAGCATTCAATAACTAAGCAGCCATTGCTACTTTTGGTCGAAATTTATAAAATCTTTCTCTTAAAACAATTTTTCAGAAAAATTTTTTTTGTGTTCAGGAGCTGTTATTGCTATTGCCAATATTGACAGGAGTTTCCTTTCTAATTTTTAGTCTGATGTAGTGTTGAATGTCAACATCTTGATTATGTCATTATCTCTGAGAAATGTGTTATCCATTTTAGTTGGGTTTATGGGAACATCTCGTTGAAACACCAGTTTCTGTACGAGCATCAAAGTTAAGCAATGTTGAGTCTGGTTAGTACCTAGATGGGTGACCACTTGGGAATATCAGATGCTGTAAGATTGGATGTGTGAGTGGTTTAATGGATGATGGCTCTGAATTGTTAATCTGAGAGCCAAGTTTCAATTTCCGTTGGGTTTGTTATATTCCTTTATGTGCAATTATCCTTGGGAAAGGTATGAATACACCTTTCCTCCCTTCAGCTATGGATTAATTAGTAAGACTTGTATCACTAAACTATTCCCCTCCCTGCCTCCGCCAAAGAAAAAAATCTTAGAATCTAAAAAGATATTTTCTGACTTTAAATAACCAGCAAAGGGTTGATAAGCTGTGAAAAATGAATTGATCAATAAAAAGAAAACATTTTAGTAGTTTCTGTAAAATATCCTTCTAGTCTTTTCAATTCTTTTTCCCTTGGATTCTAGAATAATATGGACTGTACATCTGGCAAATGAATGCTCTGAATTGCTAGACTCCATTTTGTTGTTATACTTGATTTCATGTCTAAAACTGTTGAAAAAAATAATTGTAAAACTTACATTTTCTTTGCTAATCGAACAAAGAAGATTGTGGAAGTAGCAAATGGTCAAAATTTCATTGTTTTCATGATTTTCTGCATTGTTTGTGATGATGTTGTCATACATTATGGTAGAGTATATATGGCAGGTTGAACATTGAGAGCTGATATTTACTGGATGGGTTTGTTGAATGCTAAAGGGTTAAAAACCATTTCGTAAAATATGACCATTATATATAAATTAAATTGCCAAAAAATATCTGTCTATATTTCTGAGATGAGGTATTATGTACACTATTTACATTATTCGGACTATTGTCCTCATCTTTTGTCGCCATATTTATTACAACATTTTATTTAAATCAGTATCTGTCTATATTTCTGAGATGAGGTATTATGTACACTATTTATATTATTCGGACTATTGTCCTCATTGTTGCCATATTTATTACAATGTCTTTCTTCAGGTTGTTGGAATGTCGAACTAAACCCTCATTGGGGTAGACTGTTCTAGTTCCATGTGCCACATGGCACATTGGATAAAGGCGTTGGTTAGATCCAGTGACAGGACCCAAAGAGTGTGAGTTCAATACCCAGTTAAGGCGGTGTAGAACTTGCAGAGGGGAATTAACAGGAGATAACTGGTAACTGACATCGATTAAACATGGCACATGGAACTAGAACAATCTACCCCAGTGAGCAAAATAAAGGGTTCAGTTCGACGTTCCAACCACCTGAAGAAGGCCGGAGTGTACAACGGCTGAAGCATAATAAATATGGTGACAAAGATGAGGACAATAGTCTGAATAACGTAAATAATCTACAAAAAATATCTATTCTTACAATAAAAAGTTTATCATATAGTTTTAAAGTCTTTGAATTCTAATAAAGCTTAATTCTTTAGTGATCAAGGAAAATTATCCTGAAGAAAAATACAAGATGGTAATGGTGATTCTTAATAAACTGTATTTCTGCGCATAAAAATGTTGGTTGTCTTTGAGATGAGAGCTAAATATTCAGTTGGGGGAATGAAATTTCTTCTGGCTGTGCCTAGCTGAGTACCTGATGTAAAACTCATTAGGTTAAAATTGCAGGTGTGAGACAGGAATAAAAAATTGTCATCCTACCTGGAGCACCTCTCTCACCTGTACCACTCACCCCCTACTTACATTCTCCACAGTTACCCATTTGCTACATCCTTTTTAGTTTGCTTTTCTGTGGGATCTCTTTATACAAGCTGATCCATTCCAACTGAAGGGTTTCTCATAAAAAAAAAAGTCTCTTTCTGCTTGCTTAGCTAATTGCTGAGATTGATTGGTGGCAAGGCAGGATCACCTGACATTGTCTGGGATAAATTACAACCTGGAGGAATATTTATCTATTTATTAAAAATAAAAAAAAAATGTTTTTATTTTGCTTTTGATATATTTTAAAGGGGATAAAATTTAATAAACAGATTTTTTTAAAAACTTTCAGCAAAAGTAAAATCTGTTTTTCATATGAGCTAGGTTAAAAAGAATGTTTTTATTGTCTGTGGTTTTGTTTGGATTAATTTCTAATTTAAGATTTATCTTTTGGCTTGATTTGATTTGTTTTTTTTTTTTTTTTTTAAATGCCTCGTTTAAAATTAAAAACTTTTCTTGTCAGTTTTTTTGTTTTATTCTGAAATTTCTTTAAAACAGTTTGTTTAGGATATAGGTACCTATTAAAAAAAAAAAAAAAAAAATAATAAGATATGCCCTAAGTTTAAAATATATTTTAAAAAATAAAAAATCTTAGTTTTTATTTTACTTTTACTGTCAAGCTAATAGATTAAGTTTAATATTTCCAATAAGCAAAATACTTTGCCGTATTTCAAACTGAATTTAAATTGATTAAAATTATTTTTTTCTGAT